CAAAATCTCTGGATTTATTTATTTATTTATTTCTCTGACCATTTTACTAGTTGCCTTTCCTTGAGCAGTTTGTTTCCAAACAAGTCATGGGAGAAATCAGCAAAACCAAACACTAGTATCCTTTAGGTACTTCCTGAAAGCCACATGAGCTAAAGAATTTACAAATAAAGTCAAAGCCAAATCCATACCAATCCGTGTATTTACTGGGCTTTGCAGGAGGTTCGAAAGCAATGAGTCAGATGATAAATGTACTGCAACACTAGACACAACACTGCAGATAGAGACAGGTCTTTTCCTTTAATTTTTAATTTCCATTTTCTGTGGGTTTAGACAAACCACTGACATTACTTTAGCATAATACTTTGCAATGAATCAATACTTTAATTTAATAATGGTATTCTGTTGTCAACATATAATATATCACATAATGTCCTTGTATAGATGCAAAAAAAATATGCCAAATAAAATGCAAGGCTTTGCTTTTACCAGTGATCACAGGTTAAATCAATGTAATGAGAATCCTTACAGCCCCCAAAAGAATTTTCTTCAGGGTTAAAAGGCAGCATGGAGTAATTTCAGCCATATCCCTTCCCCTCATCATACCAGTGCTGTGAAAGCTCTCCTAGGTCATGGGATTCTAACAAGTATTTCAATAAAAGGAACAGAGAGGAAATATACCTGAATAGAATCAATGTATGTATCTGTGACTGGGACTTCTTTAAACATTCCACTTCCTTCTGAACCCAGTGATAACTGTGCTAGTTCCTAACTATAAAGGGAATTATAAATGGAAAACAGAATTAAGTCCAGTGTCATCCAACTTCACTGAAACAGATGAAGCAAGTTAATGCTGTAAAATATGAAAAAAAAAAAAATTATAACAACAACCACTTTAGTGGTGTGACTGCAATTCTGTATTTATTATTTTTACCTTGACAGTAGCCTTCCTGCTGACAAGTATTCAAGATGGGAAACACAAATCTAATCATGTCTGTGGTACACTGACTCATGGTATGTGAATAGAAAGTAAGTGGGAACGAGGAAGAAGCAAATGCTTTCAGAACTCCCAGTTGTTCGCTTCAGCATTTTTTTTCAATTCAACAGCTTTTGATGCATTACAAATTGATAAACAACTGGCATATTAATCTTAGTCAATGCTAAGGGCACATGCTTTGCAGTCATGTGTGTTCCCCTCGATTTCAATGACAGCTCATGATCATAACGCGAAGTGTTCACAGATTCATGTCATTTGTTGGCAGAACGTTTTAGAGCTCTGGGAAGAGTAGGTCTGGTTTTACTATGGTTTGGCACCTCCCACAACACCCTCCAGTTGGTGAAAACCCCGCAGTTCCATCTAAGTGTCATCCTTAATGTGAAAAAGATATTTGAGTCAGTGCAAAATAAAACAAACAGCTTTTACCAAAATGTCAGTGTTGGTAACAGTTCAGCTGCCAGATGCTTGTTACTTGAACCCATGCCGTGCATAACAAACAGACAGAGATATGACTAGGATAAACGACTGGACCAGAAAATCTTTAGCAGGAAATCAAAGTATACTCAGGCTGCAGTCTGGAGTCATAAAAAAAGGTCGCAATTGGACTTCACAAGATTTATTGATTAAGAGTTCTGTAACATCTCTTTCCTTAGTTACTATGCATTAGTTGAGCCCCACCTGCCTGACCTCAGTTCCCTGCATTAGCCTCTGGCCATATGAACACAAGAGAAACCACAGTGCTATTTCATAGCTGAATTCACACAGGAATTCATATAAGTACAGTATCTCAATTTAAAGATAATAACATTACTGAAGAACCCAGAATACCATGAAAAATGCATATTGGAAAAATCAGGGCATGACTCTTCAGAAATTAAACCAATGGCTTGATAAAAATAAAACCTCACTGGTGCGTTCCAATCAGTTGGTTGATTTTTCTGATCTACAGGCTGGACTATCCTTCTAAATCAATGATTGATTTTTATGTTGAGCACTGGATAAAGAGGCTCATGCTGAAAAGCCACAGTCCGTGCGTGATCATGAGAAAAACATGCAGGCACAAGACACAGAGTGAGATTTGATGAGTAAGTGGCTTTTGCTTAGTCAGAACCTGAGGGATCTTCATCAAGAACTTTCAAAACAGCTAACAGATAGCTTGACTTTGAGTGAAACACAACCAAGAATTATTGTCATTATGCACACCCACAAAAAAGTGAGAGATTTCACAACATCTTCTCAGATGAATACACACACAGAGAAAAGGCTTTACCAACATTTATTTCAGGTGGGCAATCATCCAGCTTTCTGCAGAAATTATTCCCGATTTGCCTTCCATTTTCCTAAGTCATAATTTGAGCCCATTTTAATGTGTTAAAACAATTAAATAAACTGCCACATGAACCAGTATAAATAAAGACAGCTGCTTCTTTTCTTAAAAGCTGTGAAATGCTAAATAACCTATGACTCCTGCCCACATATGTGCCTTGCCAAGCCAGAGGATCACATAAGGGTGTGCACTATTTTGAAAGCTGGGGCATCAGATTTGTCATGTCAGATTTGTATTCACACGGTATAACGGGATCCATGACTTTCATTTCAACAGCAGCTGGAGCAATGGGCACAGAAGGAACACAGGAAATGTTCCCATGCTCAACCTGGGAAATGAGGATGAATTTCTTCTAAAAAAAAAAAAAAAAATCTCTTTATTTCCAAGAGCTGTTAGTGGCAGATGCAGACACTTGCTGTGGGGTCACACCATGTCAGCAGTTCACGGCAGAAAGATTGCATTTCTTCTCCCTCTCCCCTCCAGTGAATACTGCAGCCTCAGAGAAATCTACATGTATCCTCAGAGACGCTCATGTGTATCAGGAAAGTGCAGCTGTAAGGCTTTAAAAAAAAATTTCCACATGCCCTACAAATTCAAATCCTTTTTTATGTAATCTATTTAATCTCCCATTAATGATAATCTCTGCTATCAATGTGCCCAAACAGGGTCAATTTCTGCTGGATTTGCACTTCTTGCATTTCATCCTATAACCAAGCTGTATTTAATGAGGGGAAACACCCTGCTGCAAAAGGTATTAGCAGTCTCCCTAAAACAAATAATAGTTACAAGACTCTGCAACTGCCAGGAACATTTCAAGATTGTGGGTTTTCTTCTTCCTTTGTGTGTCTTGTGTGGAGTTCAGCTTGCCAGCTGAACATTATTTATTAATCAGGATATTATTACCTTCTATACCTTGTAAGGAGACAGCATAGAGGGCCGGAAATTGCTGTGGATCTCTCTTATGTACCCAAAAAAATAGAAAGGGGAGAAAGGAAGAGATTGCAAGGGAGCATTCTGACCCCAACAGATCCCACCTGGCAAGCCCAGGCAGCATTTCAGACACACACAAATCAGGGCAATTTGAAACACCACGTAATGTACCTGGTTCATACAAGGTTTGAAAACAGAGACAGAGATTGAAAATCAGGCTCCCTTTGCTGTTTTGTTTTTAAGAAGTGCCCTATACAGCTCCCTACAGCTAAGTGAAATGGGTAGGGTTCAGCTCCACAAGAGATCTTCCTTCTGGTAACATCTGACTTGCTTAGGGGTTGTACCTGCAGAGCCAGCAGGCTCAGACACACCTGTAAGGGACGGTTCTCTCTCAGTTACTGTAGCAGTCAGTGGGAAAGCGAGTTACTGCCTTGTTTGCTCTTCTGATTTAGTGATAGTTTTATTCATAATCATGCCTAGCGATCCACCACCTGCACACCCACCCACCCACACATACATGTCCAATTTGCTGCTGTTCTCCAGATTTTGTCAATTCACAAGATCAGTTCACTCTGCATATACTCTCTGCTCCGGGGCTCATCAGCAAATAGATTTAATGGACAAAATAAAGTTCAAATGACTTGCTAACATAATCCTCCAGCGGAATAGCCAACATTAACATGCAGAAGGGGAGCCCTGGGCTGTAAAAGCAATTCAGGTGGTAGCATTCAACTGAATTGATGTTCCTAGCAGAAGCAGCTAAGAGTTAATGGAGGACACACGGCTTCTCATTTCCTATGCTGCATCCAAGAAATCGCAGAAGATGACTATAATACAGTATAATTGAGCATTTCACTAAATAGCACAGCACAGAAGTTCTTTTTGGCACGGATTGCATTTGTCCTAGATAACCTTTATGAGAAGCTGAAAGTTGATGCACCCCAACCAAACGGATTTTCAGATTTAGCCCAAATCCTTAGGTTTGTGCCTGGGAGGGTGGGAAGAACCAGGCACCGAGCATCAGTCGGGGAACTAGCCCCCTCCTCTGCTTAAAAAAAAATAGTCAGTTACGGCAAGACGGTGCTGTGGCTACACACAGGAGCCGGGAAAGCGTTTGGCTGCGTCTGCACATTCGCGGGGTGCCCTGTGCTCCTCGGTGGAGCTGGCGGCGGCTCCTGAAGGAGCCGGGAACCGGGACGGAGGGAGCATCCATCCTTCCAGAACCCGCTGTTTCAAAGGAGACGACTGTGGAAAGCCAAACTCCCTCCCAGGCAGAAAGGCAGGGGCACAACCCACCCCGCACCTCCCGAGGACCACTCTGCCCCTTCTGGGAGCGCCGCTGCCTGGGGGTCATCAATTGTCCCTCTCGCTCAGACACCTCCCGACACCTCCTAAATACCTTCCGCAGACCAGGCTGGAAGGGGAGAGGAGAGGTCTACATCCTTCCTAAAAACCACAGCGAAATCTAATCACCTCAAATGGCTGCTCCTGCCTCACCATCCATCACACAAGCGGTGAACTTGCCGGGGGAGGGGGGGGGAGAAGGGGGCGCAAGCGGGGGAAGGGAGAAAAGAAGCGCAAACTTCGGAGATCTCCGGCCTCCCGCAGGGCAGCAACCGCACGGGAAACCCGCGTCTCCCGCGACCGAGACATCGCCCCGACCCCGCCGGCGCCCGGCGGACAGCGGGCTCCGCCAGGGGGACGCGAGCGAGCGAGCGGGGCGCCCCGAGGGCGCGGGGCGGCACTTACGGATTTTGGGGGTCGTGCTGGCCTCCGGCGTGGTGGTGGTAGACTCCTGGAAGGGAGACAAGGTCCAGGACGGCGCCGAGTCGTGGACGTAGATCTTGTAGGAGGAGGTAGCGTGTGCCGCAGTGGGCCAGGCGGGCAGCGGCGGGGTGCTGGGGGCGGCGGGCGGCGGCCGGGCGCCGCGGCCGGCGGTGCCGG